ATTCATAAATGAAATAAATCCAACTTGCATGTGTAAATACCATATTGTCTTGCTAGTGTAAGACCCAAAGAATAAATATGATCCAAAAGTTACAATCGATATAGTAAAAGGAAAAGAAACTGTTCAAATGGAAATTATGTTGTTTGAACAATTTTGCATGTCTTTATCTTGTAGTCTAAGCAGCTACTTTGAAGATAACAATATGCAGTATAACTACCATTGTTAAATTCCTACCATCTTGGTTTGAAATCCTATACCGCTATTGTTTGTTGTTGTTGCTGTTGTCATTTTGCTTTTGTTGTTGCTACTTGTTTTTTTTTTCTTGATTTGTCTATTCTTTTTCCGCTTTAAAATAAAAAGAGAAAAAAAATGACGATATTTACAAGTGGAATACTACTGTGGTATTAAGAAGAAGAAATCTGAGTCATTTGTAGAAAAATGAATTCACCTTGAGAACATAACATTAAGTGGAATAAAGCAGACATACAAAATTGGATATCATATGGTTTTTCTTGTATCAGATACCCAAAATATGAAGGAAAGAGATATACAAGAGATATATACAATAATAGGAAACAAGGAGATACATCTTATCCAAAGGGAAGAGGACAAAAAATGGAAGAAGTTAGGAGGGAGAAAAGAGGGATAGGAAGTGAAGAGAATTAAGATGTTCATGGACCAACTCCACCCAAAAAATGCAATAATTTTGTCTGTATACACGTGCTGGTAAATATATATTTAAAATTATTTTAACTATATTAGTATTTAAAAATCATTTAAGTTATATTATTTTATTTAAAATATGGATAATATTTTACCTCAGTGGACAAGGACATGGATGATTACATGCAATAATGTTTGTATTTATTCCCATGTGTATGACAGCATTGCAAGTCAAGGTTTAGCAAACTTTTTGTGTAAAATATTTCAGACTTTCTCACCTGGGATCCTCTTTTCTGTTATTTAGCCTCTCTGGTGTAATGAAGACGGCCATAGATAATATGTAAATGAACAGAATGTTCTGATAAAATTTTATTCACAAAAAAATGCACTGGGTTAGATGTATAGTTCATGGACCTTAATTTTCCAACCAGTTTTTAACTATAGAGTAATTATGTATCTGTTACCTCTAATACCATTATAAATTACTGGAGTTTAGAAAGGTTTTTCTTATTTTGTTTCTATGTTTTGCATCTCTTAGCCAGTATTTGATGTGTAATTAGGTGCTTATTACATGATATTTATAAAATAATTATTTATTGGGAACAATACTAAAGCACTAGTGAAATGCTTGTTCATATTCTGCCTGATTTTGCTTTTCTACTCAAGAGTCAGAAGTAAATGCAACACAGAAATTAAAAAAGAATGAGCTTATTCTAGTACAAACAATCTCGCTAAGCCATGTTTCTCTCCAGCGTTTGGATCGTTTATGTTTCCTCTGCACCTTGCCGAAGTACTTTAACCTATTCACAGAGCCACCGGACCATTTTTAATTCTCATTATCTTGCTACATTCTCTGGACAGGACATTACGGGCTTCCTTGTGCAATCGCTTTGCTTTGAACCTAATGGAAGGGTGGGTTCAGTTTATGGTCCTCTAAGTATTTGAGTCAGGACAATTTGAGTGACTCTGCTACGTTAATGATGAGGAAAGCAATGTATAATGTTTGATGAAGAGGATATCCTGCCCTACCCTACCCCATCTCTGCTTTCACACGCTCATCACGCAACTCCTCTTACCTCAGTAAATGTCCCTCATGGCATTTACGTTCCTGAGGGTTTTCCTTTATCAAAGAGTTCTCTTCTTCACCAAAACATTTCAAAGGGTGTAGAAAAAATTTATTCTCGTCTAAACCTTCTGAGTATACCAAACAAGGAAATGTTATAAAATGGTCGGTTATCAAAGTTAAGAGAAAAAACTGTATTCCACTGCTATTTTAGTCAATGTACAAAGATGTTTGATCTCATATAAATTGTGTTATGCTCCTTTGAAAAATAGAGTAGATGGTTACATCATGAAAAAACCCTGAAGTTCAATGTGTTTAAAGGGATGTGTGTGTCTGCTTGTCTGTGAGACAGACGGGCTACAACGGTGGTGGCGACAGTGGCATGCACGCTGTAGCTGGCCGCTTGTTATCACTGCAAACTCTAAAAGGTTGCCATCACTGGGCTATAATGTAAACACATTTAAAAACCAGTACATCTTAATTGAGGCAGAGTTGGCAACGCTTAGCTGATAGGGGCCATGTGGTAAAAATTACTTCTTGCCTTGTTTAAAATCAGTTTCCTATGTTGACTGCAGGTGCAGATTCCCCTTAGAGAAGCCAAAAAAATGACCTGATAGCTGAGACATTAGGCATGGGTGTTGATGAAAAGATTTCCTTGTATTATTTTCGTTAGGTTTCCTGCTTGCCTCATCAATGTTTGATGGAGTTGGGTGCCAAAAAAGTAGAGATTAGTTTTATGGAGCATCTTGTATATTTATTTCCTCTAAAACTTGATGATATTTCACCTCAGTGATAGAGCAGGCTCCTTACTGCAATTAGCAACAATTGGGTCAGGATGTGCGTAATCACCAAATGCCCCAGGGAAAGCCACATGAGCCTGAACTGAGATAAAGGCCAGTCCATCTGTGGTCATTGTCTTCCAAGTTCACAGATGATGCCACCCACTACTGTGTTGATATTCCTGTTAGCAGCTCTCCTGCAAGAATCTTTGTTCCTGCAGAATAAGACTTTGTTTTTTGGATTAGTAACCCCTGTTTTCTAGCTTTGCCCATTTTAGCTAAGTTTTTTCTGCAATCTCATCCTAAAATCAGAGTAGCTTCACTTGTACACTAAGGGTTTTCAAACTTGGCATTTGACATTCTGAGTTCAATGATTCTTTGGTGGGAACACTGAACGCTTTAGAATGCTCTGTAGCATCCATGGTCTCCACCATCTAGAGATCAGTAGCACCACTGCCCCAAGAGTGTGATAACCACATTTGTCTCAGACTTTGCCTTAAATTCCGGAGGAGGAGTGAGGGTTATACACAAACATCACATCTTTACTTACCGAGTTGATTTTTCTACCAGTCAGGTCTGTAGCCCTATCAAATCTGCCGTATTCTGTAATTTATTACATCCTTAAGTAAGCATTTCCTTCAATGCACATTTTTACAGAAAAGAAAATAGAGATCCAAGGTGATGTATTCTATTAGGCATGATGACAGTTTCACTGAGGACAAAGCCAAGGACCTTATCTTATCACAGTGCTTATTATCTGCCCCTGCTGCCACTTATTCCATCACACACACAAAAAAAATTGTTGCTAAAAAGCTGCTACACTTTCGGCTCAATCTGTCCAAGTAACTGTGCTATCAAGTATCTAAGTATTTTAGGTTGTCCATGTATTCATCCATTAATTCAACAAAAATTTGAATGATCTCTGCCAGACATTGTTTTAGATTCAAAAGATATGTAAATGAACAAGCTACACTGAGTCACTATCATCCTTAAGAACATATAAATTGGATGATGATTGGTACTGTAGACAGAGTTCAATCTGCAAAGGGAGACTGAGATTCATGAAAGGATTCTAAATATGGTAGGCAGATCTCATAATGCATTGTTTGAGCAGGAAAAAGCTCAAAGGGTAATACATCTGGGTGGCAGGAATAGAATTAGTCAGGCATCAGAAAAAGTAAGAGAAAAGACCCAGAGATAGGGATGTGCTCAGGAAATTTGAGAACTGACAAGAAGACTATTGGCTGGAGCATAGTAACTCAGGATTTTTACAAAGGGCTATCTAGCAGGTCATTTGAGGCCATAAAGATAGATGGTGATGCTGATTTACTGTGAGATTTATTCTGAAGCAGAAAGGCCATTTGTCAGTTTCCAATCAGCTCTGTTACATTCAGCTGTGTAATTTGGGAAGTTTTATCAGGTAACTATTTGCTTCAGTTCTTTACCTATAACATGAAGGCATTTAATAATACTCCCTGATAAGGGTGTGTGGGAGGTTTTAAAAAGATAACATATTTTTAAAATTTAGCAGAATTCCTACAGGTACTACAAAAGATATTACTCCATTTATTTATTTGTTTGTTTGTTTATTTATGCCATGGATCAAACTCACAACCCAGCACTTGCCAAGTAAGCATATTAGGCCTTTCATTGACTTAAATGATCATCCTTATTGCTGACATTAGAAAATATTGTAGAGGGGTAGTACATGCAATTGTAGGAACAGGAGAAACAGTAAAGATGTTATAGTAACTCAGAATTTCTGTCCAGCGTGTTATATAAAAGGTTCAGAGAAATAGCGTGAGTACTTGGTATACATCTTGACAGTAACACCAATAAAATTCTGGGTGGTTTGGACGTGAGATATAAAAAGAAAATTGAGAAGTCAAGGATGGCAACAAGTTCTTTAACCTATCAACCAGAAGAATGGAGTCAGTAGTTCCCATGATAGAAGACACTGGAGCAGCGGCTAGTCTGAGAGGAGTCCAAGTTCAGTTTGGGAGGTATTAAGGAAAAGTGTTTACTGACAGCTAAATAAAGATGTTGAATAGTCAATTTATAAATCTGGAGGTTAAGAGAGAAAACTGAGCTGGATATAAACTTACACAGGAATTACTTGAAGCTAAGAAACAACAATTTAAAGAGAAAGTTTGACATAGAAGGAGAAGGGTGAGAAATGAGCCCAGGCATCCAGCAGCATTTATAGGCTAGAAAGACAAGGACAAGTAACCAGGGGCAGGGGTGAAAAAGCTAAGAGCTTAGAGAATGGAAGTGCCATTATAAAACCCAAGGAAAGAAAGGCCTGTTAGGACTTTCCATTCCAGTAATGGCAGAATAAATACATATTTGAGGCCAATTTTTCCTCTAGATAAACTCCAAAAGCTATACAAAAGTAACACTATCTTTCTGAAGAAGCAGAAAGCAAAAAAGAGAGAAAGTGGTTTAATCTGAATATATACTTAGAGTTTCATTGTACTCTTTAATTGTTTTTCAAGAATTAATTGAGCCATGATCTAAGAAGAGATGAAAACCCCAGATGATGAGCCCAGGAGCTGAGACTTCTTTTCCTCTGACGATTGTAGCTGATTCTGGAGAAGGTGGGTGAGAGGTTGGGAAGCTAAAGTAAATGAGTTTGAGGAATCTTTGCATACTGAACAAAACACAATCTGGAGCTCGGTACCCTGCAAATGGGAATAGGGTACAGGTAGCCCTTATGTGCTTAGTTTAGAATCCTAATTTGGTGCTTTGTAAGAATTCTGAAGAAGCCCACAATCTTTTCCATTTTTGGACTGCTTACAACTTATCCTACAATTTTTAATAGTGTATTTTATACAATAAAAACAATCTACTCCCTGGGAAGATAACTTTAAGAAAAGATAGAATTAAATGACAATAAAATCAGACCCATCAAGCAGGTTATGACACTGAATTTAAAATAATCATGTCTCCTGTGATCCAGTAAATAAAATAATTTAGAAATTGGATAAGGAATGAAAACATATAAAAGAAGGTAGAGTGGAATTGAAAAAGCATCAGTAATAGCAACACCATGAAACTATTATGTGGGCTTAATGGATTCGTTAAAGCCATACTTTGAAAACTAAAGGAAAGTTCAGAAGAAACTATCCAGAAGGAAACACAAGGACACAGAAGTTAGAAAATGTAAAATGAACTGAAGTCTCTAAAACTATAAGCCTATATAAATCTTCCTTCTGTTAATTTGTTCCCCCCAAATATTTTGTCACAGACATGGAAAATTGACAGTATAGCATTAAAGTAAATACAGTTTATTCAGAAGACATGACGAAAGCCAGAGGAACAGCTAATGTTGAAATCAAATGACAGACGACTTATAATTGTGTTGATGAATATAACTTTTAAGATTAAGGGTGAAATATAGATACATGTAAGTAAATAAAAAAGGCAACTTTCATGAGCAGAACACTAAAGAAATATTGAAAGGAGTCTAATAGAAAAAAATCAGGTAGAATTGTTAGACACTGTTAAAGATCAGCATAAAATTTCATGTTTTTCTTCAATGACCTGGATGCAAATGCAGAAGCAAATATAGCAAGTTAAAATTATTTCAGCTGGTGGATAAAGGAGTAAACAGCTATGCCATGGACTATAGAGTGGGAAAGAGTGAGGAGAGAACATCATAGTGAGAACAGATCATGAAAAGCCAGCCTAATCTATAGATCCTGATGTCACAGAGTCATTCAGGTTCAGAGACTCAAGGCAGTTGCCTTTGAAACATGTAAATTGCTGCTGGGAGTATACAATCCTTGAAATGAGACCATTGTAGAGACCTAGCTAGCCAAAATACTGGAGGTGCACTCAAGGGAATCAGCAAGGAGTCATATCTATGAATTGCTTAATCTTAGAATTAATTAACTAATATTCTTACCGGGTTTTCAAATCATTCTAAAATTGAAACCTGATCATGCTATTACAGAGAAATCCTTTAAAGGTCACCACTTTCCCTAATATCTGAAATAATTTTCAGAATAAAATTCAATTATGAGAGGATGACAAGAAAATCCTTTAATTATCTTATTTCTCATTATATTTCCAGTATCAAAAACAAATTCCTTACATTTACAACTTGCTTAGATTTTGACCCCTACAAAACTGCATTCCAGATGTTATTTTGTTTTTCAGTGACATGAAACTAAAATTTCCGCTAGTTTAGGTTTTTATGTAAGACTTCAGTTAAAATACTTATGTCTGGTAATAGTATAGCAGTCATGTTACATTTCCATTATTTAATATTTTCTCACAAAGCGGAAGCCCTTTGTGGAAGCAGGGTACATTTTATGTTAAAGAAGAGAGTAGAAGATGGTTTAGGAATGGAAAGTCTATCCAAATATCAGTCACCTTTGATAGCTGTGCCAAAAAGTTGACCATGCAAGACTCCCATTAATTTCCTCCAACCTTACATGGGCTGCATTATAATCTCAGTTGTTTAGATGAAAGAGGTAATATTTGCCAAGAGAAACAAAACAATGACGCTCAGTTGTACCTTTATTCAATTTCTGTCAAACATCTCTGGTTTCTATGTTCAGTTGTTTATTGGTATCTAGGTACTTATTTAATTAGCTACTTGTTTAATGAAGTAATTTATTACTGCCAAGGTAGCTCTAATCAAGGACATAATTCAAATGAAGTATGTAAAAGATTCAAATCAGTTCATCAACCAAATATGAGCTCCTATACAATGGAGACATTTAATCGTTTCAGGTCTGGTGTTGAGATTAGCCTGACTGGCTTTCCGGCTTTCGTTCAATAATTTATTATCTTATTTTGAAATAAAATAAATCTGGTGAGTGATAGCCTTTGTATCATTTGTTGTGCAGGTACAATCAAGGAAAGGTTTATTTATTTACTTACTACCACACCTGGCAAAACAAATTACTAATCCAAGACAGAATCTATGATAGCTTTTACCGTACTCATCAAGCTTCACTACATAATAAATGTCTGTGCTGTTCTAGGCTTCATTAAGATGAAAGTCTGGAGTTGTCTGATCACATTATTTAGACAGAAAGTGATTTCTTTATGTTATTATGATATACCTCAACAAACTATTTTTCTTTAGAAACACTTATAAGCCGCAGGAGAAAAGATATACTATTTTCTGTGTTTCAATTAAAAACAAATAAAGGGAGAAATAAATATTGAAAAACAATTAAAATGCTACACAATTTTAAGAGTTTTAGAAAACTTTAACTGATATATCAAGCATATGGCCAAAAAATGTATACATTTAAATAATGTATGTTTTAGCAAATACATTTAAAATTAACACGAAGTTATTTATTTTTCTTTAGTTCCCAGTTACCTCTAAAATAAAATCTTAGCTTCTTAAACTAGCATACGTGGTTCTGTTTTGTCTCCTCAAGATATGCACAACACTCTAACACCCCCATTATAAATCGAGCTATCTTCGCCACAGAGCTGGTTTCAACCACCCCAGCGCAAAATCTGAGTTACTTTTACTAAGACAAAAACATCTTTCCTAAGTAAGAGAAGAGTAGGAGTGGAAGTAGAAACACATGTGAAAGGATGACGACTAGCATACACTTAAATTTGAAACTGCACAGCAATATTCAAAGAGTTCTATTTGGTTTTAGCAAATTTTATCTCATATGGTTTCAATTGATGAGAAGAGTTTGGTACCTGAAAATATCGTGTTACATAAACTAAATTATATAAGCATAATTATATAGCATAAGCTATGGCCTTATGAATGTACAGTGATGTTTTTCACATACAAATCTTCACTGTTTTTATGCTCTGGAATTATGGGTAGACAACGAAATGCTCACACCGTGCTATCAGTAAGTCAGTCAGCTAAATTAAGTACAATGTCACTCATAGGAGATAATTAGGTTTTCTAGGTAGTAATTTTCAATAAACTGTTAGAATGAGGTATCAGAAGATTAAATGGCTGGTTTGAGAGCTTTCAGTCTCAGTCACGTATCTCTTTTGAAATAGCTTAGAAATGAGGAAAATTGTGCATATCTGTCAAGGAAATGAGGTGGTATAGTGACAATTTCATGGGGGATGTTTTTATAATAAGAATGCTAAGCTTAACTGCAATAAAAGTAAGGTAGCTTTCCATTAACATAATATAACAATATAATTTTAACATAATATGGTATTAATATGATATAATTTTATATAATATGATATAATTTTTCTAGTCCAATTAAACCATTTTCAAAGCTCATATAAGGAAATTTTATTTAAAATAGGACTGTTACCATAAAAAGCTTTACTATTTTATCAGATATATTGTAATATATCTGACATATTGTAATATGTCAATCTAGTAATTGAGGACATGACCTATTTTCTCTTTAAAAATTGGAACAAAAAGGGCATACTAATTGGCTTTTTAATTTGTTATTTAAATTAAAGGTATTTTTACTTATAATTAAAATCTAAAGGACCCTCTGTCCCAAAGTACTGCAAAGTTTTACTAAAATATTATTTTAATTCCACTTACTAAAATTTATTGAGGATCTGCTTTGTACTGATCCCTGTAGTGGGCACTCTAGAGAAATACAAGACAATTATAAACATGGCTTCTACCTTCAGAAGTTAATTAATAAATTAGAAAGATAGCAACATATGTAATCATATTTATGTTTTACACGTGCTTACGTGTTTAGTACCATGCGTACTACAATATACATTCATCTAACGATGACTTTGAATTGAGGTATGTATAGATGGACAGAAATTCATGTAAAGCTGAAGGAAACCTTAACAGAAAAAAAGAATTATAATTACTTAAAATATAAAACTTAAGATGTTCTATTATTCAAAATTATTGTTCAAAATTATCAGATTAGATTCAAAACCATAAGAAAGATAGCCAAAGAAATGACACATCAGCTCCAGAAATCAAGAACATGTCACTGAAATAAATCTACATTCACCAAGAAATAAAAGTAAAATTATTAGTCTGGAGTAATGAAACCTCATTTTCTCTAATTTGCGTCTCTCAAATGACCAGTGATTCTGAATATCTTTTTATGTATTTATTTGCCATTTCTACTTCTTCATCTGAGAAGTGTCTATTCATTTTGGATGCCCATTTTTTGATTGGGTCTTTAAATCTGAGGAGCATGATTTTTTTGAGTTCTTAATATAGTCTAGATATGAGTTATTGTCTGAGAAAGAACAGGAAAAAATGTTTCCCTTTCTGTGGATTTTCTCTTCACTATGTTGTTGATTTCTTTAGCTGTGCAAAAGCATTTTAATATGACAAATCCCAGTTGTTGATTCTAACTCACTCCAGAAAGAATATGGTTATTATCAAGAAATCAACTGATAACAAATTCTGGATGGGCTGTGGGGAAAAAGGAACCCTTCTCCACTGTTGGTGGAAGTGTAGACTGATGCAACTGTGGAAATCAGTGTGGCGATTCCTCAAAAAAGTAGAGGTTCTATTGGACCCAACTTGGTATCTTCCCAAAGAATTAAAAAGAATTAAAAATCATCATACCACAGTGATATATAGGCACACTTATGTTTATAGCAGCACAGTTTGAAGCAAATAAGTCTTGGAAATAGCCCAGAGGCTCAC